AGCTACTGCAGAGACCATCACACTGACCTGGCAACCTTGGAGAACATGGAGGATGTGAGGATGCTGGCTGACCTGGGAGCCTCTCTGGCTAACAGCCCTGTAAGTCCACCTTACTGTGATCTGAGTGGGCTTTGAATGTGGCGCTGGGTGATCACAGGAAGCTATACAGAAGTTCTGTGGAGGTAGATTGGTGACACTTTCGATAAAAAAAAAACTGCAGAAAATTCAGAGGAATTATCAAAATGTCGGATTTCCTGCAGCCTCTGACCAAGTTCTGCTTCCAGGCGGTCTGGATCGGATTGTATGCAGATGTGAACAGCTGGAAGTGGTCCATATCGGACGGGGATCAGCAGGAGGAGAAGCAGTTCTGGAACTGGTACACTGGAGAACCGAACAATCAGTTTGGAAGAGAGAGCTGTGCTGCCATTGACATTGATGGGTCCTGGTATGACGTCCCCTGCTCTCTGACCCTAGGGACGCTCTGCGTTGAAGAAAAGGGTGAGGATTGTTTTCCTTCTGCTCTTCACTTCAACTTCTCTGATTCTGATCCAAGGTGATCTTCTTGTCTGTATATCATCTTAATTGGGTCATGTTTTCAGAGACTCGCAAGTTTTGGTACAACAACCAAGAAAGGACCTGGAGCGAAGCCCAGAGCTACTGCAGGGAGCGCTACACAGACCTGGCCAACATAAGAGACACCTCTGAAAACCAGAAGATCAAGAACTTGATCACACAGCCAGTCTGGATGGGTCTGTACCAAGACCCCTGGAAGTGGGTGGAGGGAAGGAAGTCCTCCTTCAGGTTCTGGAACATCTTTAACCCTGATAGCAGGAAGAATGAATGTGTTGCTGCCAACTTTGGAAATGGTGGGAAGTGGGAGAAATGGAGCTGTGCTGAGAAGAAAGCCTTCATCTGTTCTGCTGGTGAGGAATCCTGCAGCGTTAGCAGCTGCAGATCAGTTCACGTTTCAGTCATACTTTGAAATAGGACATAAACACTGATCAATCACTCCAACATGAAATAAAAAAAACGTTTGTTTGACCAACTGGAGAAAAAGTTCAAGAGTTTTAAGCTTAACTCCCATTGAGAGAAATTTTGTCTTATGGTTTTAGCAATGATAGCGTCTAAAGAC